TCTCTCTCTCTCACACACACACACACACACACACACACACACACACACACACACACACAGAGACATAGACACAGACAGACAGACAGACAGACAGACAGAGAGAGCTTTGCCCTTCTTTTTTCCCTGTGGCAAGCCTTCCCTAAACAATCACAACTCCCAGTTCTCTCCAAATCCTTGGCCGTAGGCATGTCCCCTAAAAGCCCTCTTTGTAGTAAAAGGACACCAGCACTCTGAGAACAGAGCGGTGGAGAGCCGCTTAGCCAGCGAGCAGAAGAGCCAGAGCCTGAACTACGATGTGACCAACTCTAAAGCCAAATCAGCCCCACTCTTTTAAATCACATGTGTTTCCCTGTAACTCCTCGGGTCATGAGCTTGTCAGTTTCCTCCAGAGTGAGGCTTCCCTTGTGGCCCCAGTCAGCACTTTCTGAGGAAAGAATGGGAAGACAGAGGTGAGGCAGAGGCGGGAGAAACGCTGGGTCAGCACAGCTGGAAGAGCCGGTGGGGAACACATGCGACAGACAGCTCTGGAGCCTCAGTACCAGCAGCGCTCCCCTCTGCACTCAGGGCAAGAAGGAACCGAGTCTATCCCTCAGTTTCCCCATCTGTCAGATGGGGATGAGGACACAGCTGAGAATAAATCAGACAAACTCAAGGGTGGCTCGCTTTTCCTGAGTTGGAGCTCGTCCTGTGATAGAGGCCTTGGGAGGACCATGTTGTCCCACTGTGGGCGAAAGGAAGGCAGGGAGCTTCACAGGGGAGGTTCAGGTGGGCGGCCGGCTGCTGTGCATGGCTGTCGGCTGAGATCACTGCCTTCCCCTTCCAGCTGCCTGGGGATATTATAAGGTTGCGGAGACAGCAAGAGGAAGCGCTAGCTTGAGGGCCTCTTTGGGGGGTAGGGAGGGGAGCAGAAGAGTCAGACGCTAATGAAAAAAACATTTGGCGTTCAAGGTGACTGCAAGGGTTGGGGCTTGTTGGGTCAGGGTCTGACTTTAACTGGAAACAAGTCCCCAGATGCAGAGGGGCCAGTCTGGGGACAGTTGCTGAGGAGGTGTCTAATACAGACCTTGTTGACCTTGGCTTCTTGGGAGTGGCAGACCGCAAGACCTTGACTCTGAGAAGATGCCCTGTGGGGCAGCTATGGTCTTGAGGTCTTGGGGCCCAAGCATCCCCGTGTTTTCTGCCTCCAACCCGTGTACTTGTTGCAGTGGCTTCCCAGTTCATCCAGAGAGGGCATTTGCTGGGTAACTGGGACACAAGAACTCACCAAGGTGGTAGGGTTGGGATGGACTCGGGGCACAGTTTCTAATTTACCTCTTCATCTGCCGGACAAGAATCTTGACTAGTTCTCCTCCTGATTAAAAGAACTGAAGCTTGCCCTCCCTCCCAGCACCTCTGCCAAGGACACACCTCTAGCTCCCAGCTGGGGGATCAGGGCTCAGAAAGGTTAAGGTCTTAAGCTGCTCATCTGAAAAGGGATGGAGGTTGAGTCTCCACTTCTGATCACAAGGGAAGAAATCCTTTGCTGCAGGCCAGTCCTTCCTATTTCCTTCTAGATGCCCAGAAACACTTAAAAGTTGGCCATCGTGAGAGACGTAGAGAGTGGAGGAACTGAGCGGAGGGCTGTGGAGCAGGACATTGGTCTTCAGGTTGCTTCTGTGAAAAACGACAACCTGTTTGCTGGAGAAAGGGCCTTGGAGAAGCTATAGGAGCAAAGCGACTAAAAATGTTCTCATGGGAAGATGTTCATCAGCCACTGAACAAGACTCCATCGGCAGCCTTTATCCCTCGGGAGAGAGAGGGGTCCTGGCAGTGAGCTTTCATTCTCGTGGGACCCTTGGTTCTCCTAGGGATGAAGTCATCTGACCACACAAGTGCCTCTTGATATAAGCTCTCTCAGGGAAATCCAGTCTCTTGCTCCATCAACAATTTCTAGGTGCCTGGCTGTATTAGAGAGCTCTGAAGATGTTGCAAGCATAGGTTGCCTGGTGGCCTCATATGGGAAGCCAAGCCTCTGTATGTCCCCTTTTGGGTATCTTCGTCAGGCCATAGGCAGTCTTGGTCTTTCACAGGGCTGGAGAAGCACCCACTCTGAAAGGGTCGGTGGGGTCATCCCTTCCAACTTTCTTAGGAGAAGGTCAAGAAAATCTAGTCCCAGGAAGGAGAAAGTGTTACTAAGTGGGAATTAGAGAACTTTCCAGAAGTGTCTTGCAAGGACTTTCTGGAGAAGAACACTGGAAGGGGCAGAAAGTAGACATCCAGGAGTCTGCACTAAGGGGGTATGGACAGAATCAGGCCGTGGGATGATGGAGGAAGGTCATTGGTTAAATAAAAAGAAACTGCTTGGCCCTCATTGGTTAGAAGATAGGTGGGAGGAGTAAACAGAACAGAACGCTGGGAGGAAGAGGAAGTGAGCTCAGACTCCACAGCTCTCCTCTTGGGAGCAGACGCCTCAGAGAGACGCCATGCTCCCAGCTCTCAGGCAGACGCACGCAATGAAGCTCCGACCCAGGATAGACATAGGCTAGAATCTTCCCGGTAAGCGCACCTAGGGGCGCTACACAGATGATTAGAAATGGGCTAAATTAATATGTGAGAATTAGCCTAGAAGAGGCTAGATAGAAATGGGCCAAGCAGTGATTAAATGAATGCAGTTTGTGTGTTGTTATTTCGGGCATAAGCTAGCCAGGCAGCCGGGGTGCTGGGGATGCAGCCCCGCCGCCCTTATTACTACAGTGGGATACTTAGATATAGTTTCCTGCTTCAGATACCTCCCGAATCAGGAAGGCCATCTTCCTGTTAGACTGGTTCTGCTCTGCTTGGACTCAAGTAGAGGGTGAACCATCTAGATGAGAAGTCGGAGGACAGCTCCCCACCGCCCTGACAGTGACTGTTCTGTGAGGAAGCCTTCTGCTGAAGGACGCTCTCACTGAAGATTCCAAAAAAGCCAGCTGCTAAAGCTGCCTGAGATGAGAGTCGTCACCCCAAACCAGGTACCACTTCTACACCAAGCACAGAGGATTCTCCAGTCCTCCTGGAGCCTGAGAAGTGTTTCAGAAGCTCTCAGGTGGGCAGAGCCTGGGATGGAAGCTGATGTTGGGGAAGATTGCAAAGCCAGATCGGTCTTCCTGTTTGCACCTTCTGCTCCTCTGGAAAACAGCATACGACACACGCCTAAAAAGCCCCTTCGCGTTCAGAACCCATTTCTACCCCCTTTAGCACTCCTTCCTTTTCCTCTGTTTTACATGGAGGACGCAAATTCCCAGCACCACCCCCTCCCCAAATACAAAACAAAAAGCCCTCCCAGTCTAAAGAGATATGATAGGCCTGGACACCACTCCCCACATCTCCCAGAGCACAAGGCCTCCCGTATTCCTGCTCAGAAGCAGAACGGCTGTTCTTGCCGAAGACAATGTGGTTCTAATATATATCAACAGAGTCACAGAACAGCTCCCCCTCCCCTCTTTTTTTTTTTTTTAAGAAGTTAACTTCATTTCTAGGACTTGTGTGTTTCTCATTAGTAACGCTGTCTTTTGAAATGCAGGCGAGGGAGGCGACTCCAGATGAAATCAAAACTGATACGTGAGCGTTTGACTTAACCGCTGCTCTCTGCATGCCTGCCTGCTGCCTTGCTGGGGCTGATGTCCACAGAGATGGGACAGCGAGTCTGCAGTCCCCAGTTCTCTGTATAGCAAGGGAAAGCTCCAGGCTGGAGCAATTCACCTCTGTCCTTCATGTCAGTCTAAAGAGAGGGGTGACCTTGACAGAGGGGCTCTGCTGAGTGACCACGACGCTAAGCTCCCTGGGATGGCTCCAGTCATCACAAGAGTCACAACCTGAACGCTTTTTAGATGACAGAGCGGGGCACACACATTCCACGGGGGGGGGGGGGGGGTCATGTCGCTCCTCACTTTCTAGGTTCTTAGCTTTTCCAAGTGGAAAAGTCCACCCTGGAGTCTTCTGGGTCTGTTATGGCATCCTTACTCCATGTGACCAGGCCTTCTGGAGAATATTAAGAGGATGGAAAATTCTCTTCATGGCAGGCCAAGGGGTCTGCTCAACCTTTCTGCCAATGAGGGTCACTTTCTGGGTATCCAAATGTGTCTGTCACTTTCTAGGTGGAGAAACAATTTTGGGAAGCTAGACCAGGTCACTGATTGCCTTCCTAGCCGACATTTTACCCAGTGACCCCAAGTTAAATTTCTTTTTTTCCTCAGTAAAAATTTCTTGTTCTTGGGAAAGCTGATGCTGATTGCTTTCTGGTCCCAAGGGATTGGTTTCAAGGGTGGCAGAAGACTAGAGGCCCCTTACTCTGCCACCACGGGTCCTACCCTATCTAATCTGGTCTCCCCATTTTCATGACTCAATTACCTCCTTCCTTACATGGAAAACCCTTCTCTTTCCACTATCTCTGGAGGACAGTCATGACTTCATGACCCAGGGATGTGACCTTCATGAGGACAAATGTCTCTTCTGAGTCTGTCTTCCCAGCTACTAGCTACGCAGACTCAGTATGGGCTTGCAGACCAGAGAAGTGGTTAATAGAATAACAAAGTGTTTCCTGGGAGCAGCCAGATGGCACAATGGGTAAAAATGCCTGCCACCAAGCCTGAAGACCTGCATTCCATCCCTGGCAAGGAAGAGAAAGGAGTCCTGGAAGTTGTCTCTGACAGAGAGAGAGAGAGAGAGAGAGAGAGAGAGAGAGAGAGAGAGGAAAGAGAGGGAGAGAGGGGGAGAGGGGGAGAGAGAAAAAGGAAAGTGAGGGAGAGAGATAGGGAGAGAGAGAGAGAAAGAGGAAAAAGAGGGAGAGAGAGAAAGAAAAAAGAGAGGGAGAGAGGGGGACAGGAGAGAAAAAAGAGGAGAGATAGAGAGGAAAAAGAGGGAGAGAGGGAGAGAGAGAGAGAGAGAGAAAGAGAGAGAGAGAGAGAGAGAGAGAGAGGAGAGAAGAGAGGAAAGAGAAAAGATTAAAAATTCTGACTTTAGCTCTTTTCCTCAGGCTTCCGGGAAGATGGCGGACATTCAGACCGAATGTGCATACCAAAAGCAGCCCACGATCTTCCAAAACAAGAAGCGTGTTCTGCTTGGAGAAACCGGCAAGGAAAAACTCCCTCGGTACTACAAGAACATCGGTCTAGGCTTCAAGACGCCCAAGGAGGCCATCGAGGGCACCTACATTGACAAGAAATGCCCGTTCACTGGCAACATCTCCATCTGAGGTCGGATCCTGTCCGGTGTCGTGACCAAGATGAAGATGCAGAGGACCATTGTCATCCACCAGGACTATCTTCATTACATCCGAAAGTACAATCGCTTTGAGAAACGCCACAAGAACATGTTCGTGCACCTGTCCCCCTGTTTCAGGGATGTACAGATCGGCGACATTGTCACTGTGGGAGAGTGCAGGCCCCTGAGCAAGACCGTGCATTTCAACGTGCTCAAGGTCACCAAGGCCGCTGGCACCAAGAAGCAGTTCCAGAAGTTCTGACCTGGAACAAATAAAGTTATTTTCTGGCTATAAAAAACAAACAAACAAACAAAAAAAAACAAAAAATTCTGACTTTACCCTGAATTCTCACCTGTCCTTTCTGTGGTGACTCCTTTAACAGAATGGCATAATGGTATGCCCATCAGGTGACCTTTACAGATGACTTTTTCTCTAGGACCCTTCTGGTCGACATCATCACGACCATCATGTGCCAAGCATGGCACGTGCTTGACTTTGCTGAATGCCTTCCCCAGCACTGCCCGCTTAAGTAACCAATGGATCTGCTCATCAACCCGTTCCATCACCCAGTGAGAGAGAGAGGCTGGGGACCATCTTCCCTCTCTCTCACTGCAGGTTAGGTTTGGGCAAACAGGAGGGGGCATACTGTAGAAAATAAGAAGAAGCGAGAGCTGTCTGGAAAGAACATTCGTATCTCATAGCCACCCATGCCTCCTGTGGGGACTCGGGGAAATGGCCCCACGCATCTCATCCCCATTCCCTCACCTATGGCCCAGAGACCAGCATTCTTCCTTCCCTGTGAGGGTCTGCGCTATGAGGTGAGTCTGCAGGAGCGTGTGTGGAGCCTAACCAGGTCAGGCCCTATGCTGGGCCCTGGGTGTGCCAGTGAAGGCAGGAAACATTAGATATCCTAGAAACCTGTCTTGCTTCCACCCCAGCCCATTGGGGCCAGTTGTCTTCAGCGTGCTTGGCATCTCCTCTCCACAGTCCCTAGCCCATCTGTGCCAGTGTGTATTCTGTGTGGTTGCCATCACCCTCCTCCACTAGAAGCTTCCAGACAGACAAGGCCTCATCCATCCACTCCTCTCTTGCAACTCTCCCAGGTTACTCTTGGGCACTTAGAACACACTTTACTACATCTTCCTTGAGTCCCTGTTCTCAATACTTTCAGAGAACCCTGGGCTCAGACAAGCAATGGAGCCTGTAGGACAGATCCCCAGCCATGTGAGATCGAGTCTTCTTGCCCTGCATCCTGATGCAGGCCAAACTCCGCATGTACAAGCTGAGTAGTTCCTGCATCTACCCTTGTGGGGGTCTCTCCTCTGAGGAGCATGTGAGTAGAGCAGAGGGGCTGGAACTGAGGGGTTGCCCTCCTTGGCACCGTGTCCCTAGTCCTACAGGCTCACCCAAACCATGGAACCCCCAAGTAAACAGATGTCAGGGTTTCCAAGGAGGGTCAGAGAGGATAACTCACTAGCTCCAGGTCACACAGTTGCTGTGAAATCCCAGAGACAAGAGTTTGAAGCTGGGATGGTGAGTCCCCAGCTTGCCCCTGCAAGCTGGAGATCCAGGTTGGGCATACAAATACACTGAAGTCTCCAGATCAGAGCTACCATGAAGGGATGGTTTTATTTAATGGCCTGGGGGGCTGGGCTTGTCCCTGTCCCCACTCTGACACCACAGTGAACCTTGAACTGCTAACTGGAGTGGGTTGGGGGCAGGGCAGAGGTGAAGGGGGGCTGCATGGCCCACAGGGCTGGGGAAATGAGCTAATTGAGACCTTGCAGTGGGGTGGGCCACAGCTGGGCAGCTGTTGCTAGCTCTGGGTGGACAGAGGTCAGAGGGTCAGCCCTGTCCCAGAAACAGTACAGATCTGTCCCTGTCCGTGTATTCCTCCAGGCTAGGGACAAGGGACCTGACACCTGCATAGGGAACCACTCCTTCTAGCCATTCTCTTACGAGACAAGTGATCAGCTTAGGGCTGGGTGTTCCAGATATCATTGTCCAGGGATTCTTGGGCCCTCAAACTCCTTGACTTCATTTGGGTTTAATAAGTAGCTGTAGGACACAGGAATGAGCCTTCCCTATTTTCTCCTGGTCCCAGAACCCAGAACCGAGCACTTGGCACCCAGCATATGTCACATAGCCTGCATCATGTCAGGTGGGTGCTTACTAAGTGCTTTTGCATTGAATAGAAACAACTCGGCGATTAAATCACAAGGCTACACGCCAACAATTTCTGACTAGGGTGTGGATGCTCAGGTAGACCTTGACATGATTAGGTCTAGCAACGTATATGAGTTAGGACTTGTCCTGGATCATGGAGACCTCCCCCAGTCTCAATTATCTCTAGATATTGAGGTGTGTAATAGAATCAGTAAAGACTTCTCAGAGCAAAGGTCTTCATGGCACCTTCAGTGAGGGGAGGGGTGTGAGGGTCGCTAGGTGCCAGAGTGTAGCATCAAGTGCTCCCATGTGTCTGTCTTCAGCCAGCAGGTGTTTACTTCTGGCTCCTATATGGGGCACTGCTAGACAGATGAGCCCTCCAGACCTCTTCATCAGGGCTAATCTGCCAAGCAGTTAAGACCCTGAGTGTAGAGGACAGGGCAGGAGGTCAAGAGGCTAGAATAAGCCAGAGCTTGGAAAGCTTGGAATGTCTGGTCTGTCTCTCCTATAAGAGGGACATCTTCCCTGTCTATCTCTACCCATGTTCACTTTCCCAAGCCTATGGCCTGTTGTGTGGTGTGTGTGTGTTGCAAACTCTAACCTTCCTCTGTTCATGGCTGAACCAGAAGCCTCCCAGTGCCTCCAGAATGGTGCGTGCTGTCGGTTAGGGGTGAGGTGCCGGGCAGGACAGAGGGGCTCGCTGGTGTTCTTGCCTTTGCCCAGCACTGTGGCAAATTGCTATTCCAGGCATAGGCTGAGAGCTGGTTGCAAATGAGGGTGGCAGGCTCTGTCCCAGAGTTACCAGACCCAAGTCTGCATCTGGACATGAGCTGCGCAGTCAGGGTGGAGAAGGGCTGGTCCACAGAGCACCCTCAGTCAGCTCTTGGCTTTCTGCGGGGTTTCCTGGGCTGTCGAGTGGGGGGATGCTGATAAGAAAGTCATCAGCTTGTCATACAGTAAGGGGATCCAATCTCAATTCAAGGAAGCAGGCTCTGAGGCTGAGTGGGAAGGCAGAGGGCAGTTCACTGGTCTCTGGAAGCAGATGGACCAGAGAAAGGATGGGGGTGGGTGGGGCAGGGTCAGCCCCTCTGTCCTGTGGTGAGTTTAAAAATAGAGCCAAAGAGAATTGAGAGGCGCATGGAATGGCCAGATGCCCTCTCCTTACTCCAGGTCTGCGAGGGGAAGTCAGGAATCACACCCAGCCTGCGGTTTCCAGGACCTCTCCCTAATAAACCTGGGGCCAGGGGCCGTGCATTCCAGGGGCCATAATTAAAACCACCAAGGGTTATTAGGAATCACAGACCGTTCAGTCGGAAGCTCTTGCTATGCTAATTCAAACAAGGTGATTACAGACGATTAGCAGGCCTAATGCCTTCAGTTGAAATCCAGTCCGGTGGAGGGATGAACCCAAGGCCTACCTTACTTCCTGTGGGCTGCCAAGGGGTCAGACCTGGGACTGAAAGTTTGGAAGGTCAGTACCAAGGAGGTCAATGTGCTCTACAACTAGGTAATATGCTTAGGGAGTACAGGGCGAGGAAGACTGGCCCCAGAAATGAACCAAGCACTCTCATCTGCCCACAGAAGGGGCCCCTGCTTACCTCTTCAGCCTCCTCCCCCAGTGACTTCTTGGGTGTTGTGGTCCCAACAACATGGAAGGGAAGGTTTGTGGCTGCTCCTATAGACAATTTATATGTATCTCTCCCAGTGCTAAGTAATCATACATCCTCATTAGTCCATCAAAGCCAGTGTCATAGTCTGCTTGTGATGGATGTGGGCCTTAAGAGACAGTCTGTCATGCATGCTGGGGCTTTGACCTCAATCCACTTGACCCTGAAACCCTGATGTTGTCTCCTGAATGTTTGTGAGTCCACGAGATGGGTGGTTTACTATGAATTCTTTCCCAAAAGAGGGGAGACCGAGGTACTTGCTAAAGACTCTCAGCTAGAGAGGGGCAGAATATGGCCCAGGTTTGCTGACACTAAGTCCATGTTTCCAGTTTTTCTGCCATAGATGCTCCGGACAGAAATGAGACTGTCACCAAGCTTAACCCACTGGAGGCCCCAGCAAGATCCAGCTGGGAGTGAGGACCCAACATGGGAGCTTGGAGCTGTCAGGGGCCAGAGCCCCACACTGCCAGTTTCAAACCTGCTTAGGAAGGAATATCACCTCTACCAGCAACACGAGCTCCTGCTAAGTCCCAGGGCTTCATCAAAAAAAAAAAAAAGAAAAGAAAAGAAAAGAAAAAAAGGAATTCATTCATTCCTTCTTTCTTGCCTATACAGTCCTTTGTGTACCACGGGGAGCCTGCTATGAGCCATGAATGCTCATGTGAGCTGCTGTTGCATTTAAAAAAAAGTCCCTGTCTTCATGGAACCAACAGAGTTTATGAAAGGCTGGTAAACACACACACACATGCTGATTATATATATATGCTGTAATACACACACACATGCTGATTATATATATATGCTGTAATACACACACATGCTGATTATATATATATGCTGTAATACACACACACATGCTGATTATATATATATGCTGTAATACACACACACACATATATAATGATATACACATGTGTTGTGTATGTATAACAGTACACATACTTTAAGGAGTATAGTGGAGGGAGCCATATCAGACACCTTAGACAGACATGGCAACCAAAGAAGAGAAGCGTGTCTTTCCTGTCTCTCCATCACTCTGTAGACATCTTTCTTGTGAGCCCCAGTGGGTATTTCTTCAAACTTGTTGCTGGAATTGAGTCCTTGTCTATACCTGCCCTAGACAGAGGAACACTGCTGTCGCTGGTTTAGATCAGGAAGTCTGCCTATGCCTTTGAGCTGTGCTGAAGCCATTTTTCTGAGGAACAGGTAGCAGAGGCAGGAAGAGGAAACCCAGTGAAGCAGGTGATAGGCGAATGAGGGGGTGCCCACAGGGAACACCCATGCACACCAGGCAGGAACAGGAGGCCTGAATGCCTGAACTCTTGGTATGTCAGGTAGGGTCGGGGAGGGAAGGTGATGAGGACCACACCCTTTCTTCCCAGAGCTGTTTTGTGCTTCATCTTTGTCGTGTGCCCCAGGCCACTGCAACATTTGCCTTTCAGACTATCTCCAGCCTGA